TCTCTCTCTCTCTCTCTCTCTCTCTCTCTCTCTCTCTCTCTCTCTCTCTCTCTCATGATGCTGATGTCAACCTGGTGCAAGTAGTTTGACAGCTATGTTCACCCTGAAAGTGAAACCTCTACCTGACACCAAGCATCACTCTGTCAGTCACAATGGCGAGAAGCTTTGTAGCTTTGGTTGCCCTAAAAGGTGAAGGGAACATGCTCAGGTTGCCATGAAAGAGAAAAATTTTCACTGTTCTCAGCCTCCACTTCTCCCCAAGCACCCCCTCTTCAATCACAATAGCAAAAAGCACTGAAGCTCTAGTCCACCTGAAGATGATGGTGACCCGATGCTCAACCTCTTCGTGACACCAAGAACCACTCTCTATCACTCACAATGAATGATACCTGCGAAGGAGTTCTGCAGCAATGATCGATCCCCTTCCATGCGACAATCGCATCCGGTGCCCAACATCTCCCTGGTGGAAAGCACAAACCTCCCAGACATACTCAGTCATACCTACAAAAGCTCTTCAGCTATAAAGGGTCCAACGAGGGTTTGGCCTGTTATCCAAAAAAGTCTTCCATGCGTCAGTGCATCATTTAGAAATGCCCAAATCTTAGTTGTGCACCTTATCAGTATTATTCCCCCCAGGGTTTAGGGTTTAGGGTCAGGGTTTAGGGTTTAGATTTCAGGGTTTAGGGTTCACGGTTTACGGTTTAGGATTTAGGGTTTAGGGTTTACGGTTTAGGGTACCAAGCATCAAATTTGGGCGTGGAACATCTTCCCTTCAAGATCTTGACAGCATCTTTGACTTCTTCATTCGTTTTTAAATTTTAAAGCACCGGTGGTTCCCACAAATGGCTCGTTAACCTCGATGCCGAGTTTTGGATGTGCCAGGCTACCCGCCTGCCTGCCTGCCCTGGATCGAGTATATCAGTGATGGGAAATCTGTGAGAGGGGTTCATTAACGTTCATTTCCGATGTCCGAAATTCTATCCACATTGTCAAACTGACCTGCAGCAGCGTCGGGCCTGGCAACACTACTCATACGTAAAGAAAAAGAATGTGAGTGCATCTTCGCAGAGAACGTGGCAGGATACAGCATGCACTCACATTTTTTCCCATTTCAAGAGTAGAGTGGTGAGGCCCTTTTGCGAAAGCCAATCCACTTGCAGGTGGGACCGGGCCTTTTATCGTTATTTTGTAACTGAAAGAATACTTGGTGCGCTATAGTTGTACCTTGCTCATTAGAGAGACGAGAAAAAATCACGAGTTTGGTGGACAAACATCAGAGCGAGGTTGGAGCTGACTCTCAGGCAGGAGATTTTGCTACCAAGGCTGATAGAAGCAGTAACTTTCCAATGATCAACAAAGTTGCAAGCTGACGATGAATTTATAATTCTTAAACCACTAGTACCTTTGTCATTTTGTAAAATAGCGGGCCTCCGAGCTTTCAGGAGCCCGAAACAAAACGATGGCCGCCGATTAGATTTATCAATGGCAGCCATCGTCGGGCCCAGCCTCCGAATTCTTCGGGAACGGGTGTTTTCCCTCATTTCTGAAGCAGCAGAGAGTGAAAAAAAAAAGGAGTGCACTACCCTGCTTTTCCCAAAGATAATATTTTGTCCCTTCCTGATGCCGAAAGATAAAACGAGAAAATCAGCAGCGACAAAACACGAAGCCAGATACTAACAGAACCACACGTATGAAAGCAAACAAATGTAAACTTGACAACATGCAAAGTTCACTGGCAATTTTGGAAGTGAAGTGCAGCGGGCCAAGTGTGATCTAATTAACCATGTTAGTATGCTATGCTCCTGGCCAGTTCATAGAATCTGATGCAAAGCTCAAATATGAGCGAATGCCATAAACCACAACTCAAAATGGAAGAAGAATGAGACAAGGATAAGGATGGAGGAGAGAGGAGGAAGAAAAAGAGAAAAACACGTCGTCCTGATCTCACCACCATCATGTCCTCCCCATCGTCATCTGCAACATCAATAATAAATATTAATAATGATAATTATCAACAATAACATCGAATGAATGAACGAGAATCAATGTCTGTAGATCCCGCTTACTGGTAGCATCAGAAAGAGCCCTCCTTTAGCTCTCTTCACTATAATCACCCTACCTCAGTATGGCTACTAGCTATGGCGGTGCATCCAAGTGACCTCGGACATTCAATGGACAACCTGGACCCCTCTGCTGCATCTGCTGAAGCATGCATGGGTGCACTATTCCCAGCTCATGTGCTGCCTCTGACCATGTGGGAGGAGAAGGAGAAGAGGAGGAGAAGGACGAGGAGGAGGAGGAGCAGGAGGAGGAGGAGGAGGAGGAGGANAGGAGGAGGAGGAGGAGGAGGAGGAAGAGGAGGAGGAGGAGGAGGAGGGGGAGGGGGGGAGAAGGTCAAAAGGCCACAACCGCCCATGCATGCCTGACCACAGATTAGTTTCACAAGAAAACCAAACAGACAGTTGAGCGGATCGCAGCAAGAACTCTGGGAACAAACTCGGCACCACCTTTCCCTATGTGTTGTTTGGCTCATCTTTACTGCGCTCTTCATCTTCACGGTGAGTTCTTTGAGCTGTGCTGGACTGACAGAGGAAGGTGCCTTTGTCAGTGCCAACTGAGCTTGTCTAGTTTTYGAGAACGGAATGACACCCCTGATTGATGGCTGTGCTGGAAAGAGCATCACCAGGTGGTCCAGCCCAGATGCAACGCCGCCGTGGGATGGCGCGCCGAGGTTGAAATGCATCCAGAATATATTCAAACTTTTCCTCGGCTTCTTGCCTGGACAAGCCTATAACTTCAAAGATCTTCTCTTGAACCTCGTGCTTGCAGATTCGCGCCAATCTCCACCCCATTTTACACCATGTCATATGTGAGAGCATGTGTGCTCCAGAGGTTACTCATGTCCTTAGCAACTGCTGCCGTGAACAGATAATGTGCATTCTTCGGCCACTGGTTATCTTCATCCCACTCGAATGAAGGAAACTCCATCACCCACAACATTGTATCTTGTGAATTGGTGATAGGTCCAAGCTCATTGACCAGATAATTTCTCAGGCAGTCTAACAACTCACCATGCCATACGCGCCACAACATGTGCGTTTCGGAGGCTACTCATGTCCCTAGCAACTACTGCAGTGAACATATGATGTGCATCCTTCAGCTGCTGGCGTGTTTTTAGCGCATGCATGTGTGTAACACTCCCACATCATGTATTCCACCTTCCCATGCACAGCCCATCTCCCACCAAAAACATCAGAAGTGAGACGACTCTCAAGAATTGAACGCCACTTGCACCTCCCAGTCAAAACGACTCTCGAGCAGTTCGGTAACGGGTGATGTGCATCCTTCAGCTGCTGGCGTGTTCAGCGCATGCATGTGTGTACCACTCCCACATCATGTGCTCCACCTTCCCGTATGCAGCCCATCTCCCTCCAAAACCATCACAATTGAGATGACTCTCAATGTTGAATGCCACGTGCACCTCCCAATCAAAATGACTCTCAAGCGGTTTGGTCAACCGCATGCTAAGAAGAGAATCAGAGAGGTAAGATACAGTTATGAATAACTATTTGTGCTTGCCGACTCACACCTGTCATTGATGACATCATCTGTCAACGCTGAGGTAGTACATCCAGCCAATTTGCAAAACTGAGTGATACTGAGTCAAGTACCACCACATCAAGAGCGGCAATCACCATAGGTCGCCTTCATTGGATGCCATACATCCTTCTTCACTCTTCCTCCCCTATGCTCTCAATCTCAGCAGAGGATCTCTATGGCAAGACGTCAACCAATCTGCCTCTCAACGGTGTTCTGCGCAGCCCTGCTTCTCGCACCACTAGGTAGCCTCTTGTAGGAAACGGGCCCAATACCAGACTGCAAGGAATCTGCACAAAGAAACTCAAATCACAAGCTCTATGAACCCTCTTAACCAGCATGCATATGGTGACCAGAGTAGTAGCAGAAACCGCAAAGCAATGCTCACATCCGACCAAGAACAGTCAAAGTTTAAAGTCTCTTCGATAATGAAAAACCTTCAGAGTCTGCTGAGGTCCTAGTAATGAACACAGCAACAGCAGGAAAGTTCTGAGTTCAGGTTGGCCTCTCAACCTGCAGGCATGACCACCTATTCTATCCTCTACGCAACACAACACCATTATAGTAAAGCAGCACCGAGCACTGGATCTTCTTGAGACAGGAGCTGCATAAACAGCTGGCTCTTCTTGAATACATGGCTCATGTGCCAGTCTAGTCGCATAGCTGCACCTAAAATTCCTCCACAAACGGTTGGTTGTTCTTGAGACAGGAGCCGCATATCCACGCTACCGAGCCTGTGTCTCTGTACTTCACCCTGCTAAGATCAAATCTTTCCCGTACCTCGCTTGCCCCGCCTTCCAGGATTCCCTCCAGCCAGTCCATCGCTTTCTGGCGCTTCACGGCATCTTCCGGACCATCATCCTTGAACATATCCTTTCCAACGTTATTCATTCTCCGCTTGAGGTCTTCCAGGTCTACAAAGTCCAGACCAGCATYACCCACTGCTCCGATCACAAAGCTTGTCCAGYTGGCCACGCCACCCAAGTCTGGCACAAGCTGATGGATCCCCATGGAAATTGCACAGCCGGTTTTCAACAGCACAGTCACAGCGAGAATTGTCCACTTGAAGAGAGTCCACGCATGCCGACTTTCCTCTTTCTGAAGATGCAACTTCTTCCCCTTCTGGCCATGCACAGCATGGCAGCAGTCTCGGGATTCGCACATGAGACGCAGCTCCACTGGCTTCAAGCCAATCAGGAAATTCAGTTTCTGGCAAGAGCCAGGCGTCCTCTCAGTGATCAAAACGCGATGAGGTAGTCGATGACTGTGCTGCTCAGTGGCAAAAACAGATATGCTAGACAGAGCACTGSAGACTCTTGCAAATGCATTTCTTTGCTCTTCCCTCTGAATGTTCACCACTTCTTTCATCTCGCTGATGGACCGAAARTTTCGGTCAACTTTTCTACCCACATCACGCACCAAGTCAGCCAACTCTTGAGCATATTTTGGAGGCTGTTCACATCCAAATGGTGCTTGAGAACGACCACCGAAGCTGCCAGTGCTGTTTTCGCGACCAGACGTGTGCCAGAAGATTTGGTCAGATTTTACAGCAAGATCATGTATAGTGCTTGTCACCAGATCACCCACCTGTTGAACACTGCTTGTGGGGTGGTCACATTCAAGTGGTGCCTCAGAGCAATCCCCAAACCTGCCAGTGCTCTTTTCGCAACCAGATTGTTGCGGTCTTTGTCTTGAGTTCCCTTCAACTACATTGAAGCTCTCACAAACTCTGTGCAGCTCACGCTTCTGAACGGACAGGTGATCCTCCAGTGTTTTCGGTCTGATTAACGCCGTCGCATTGTCGCAGGATGGTGGAACAATTTCCTTGCCATGCTCATCCCAAATGGCAGGCCATGAATGATTGTAATTATATTCCTCCCTCTCCATCCCCTCGATCAGCTTTTCTTCTGTGACAGTCTGATTGTCACGACGACACCTCCGCTGAACAATTGGACATGTTGTCAAACAGCGTGGGCGCACAATTTTCGTCACCAGATCCACACCTGGGAGACCAGTCGGCTCTCTGCAAAGTTGGTTGATGGCTATCAAAATGTTCCTATCAACCCATTCGTCTGCTTCTGCAACAGAAATATCAGGGGATGATACCAAGACGTCAATCCAATCGTCATGGATTCCCCCGAACTCCACATAGATCTCATAGCCATTGTAAAATATGTAAGAAAGGTCCTTCTGGCAGTTGTAAACACCCTTGTCATGGAACTTCTCATGGAAGCGCACCTGCAAATTCACCACAACGCAGATCCAGAATTATAAGTCTGAACTGTTTACACCGGCTGTGCATGGATGTGTTCCCATTCATATGGTGTGAGCATAGGACATACAGCTGCACAGAGAGACGAAGGCTGCGGGACACAATGTCTTATCACAGCTCACTGCCACCAATCAGTAAACAGTGTTGTGTAATGTCCTGAGGTTCCCAATGCATTCATCACCATGACTGCTAGAGTGGGTTACTTTGCACCCTCCTGATTGTACACTAAATTGAATTACTTACCTTATCTCGGACTTTCTGGATGGCGCCCTCACCTGCGGGCCATGGCCAAACTTTTGCAGCCTGACTGTGCAGAGTGGACTCAGCCCACGGGCCTACCGAACTGGAAGTAACTAATCTACCTGTAGGACGATTACTATGTTACCCGGGACTTCGGGATCACGACTGACGTGGGATGCTTGTATGTGTGCAATCCTTTCATCTCTCTCTCTCTCTCTCTCTCTCTCTCTCTCTCTCTCTCTCTCTCTCTCTCTCTCTCTC